CAGACATGGCGTTTCATTTCCCCCTCGGGACAGGTCCTGTTATATGAACACTGAAGAGCCTCAAAGGAAAATGTCTGCTTAGACCAGACTGAGCCCCCTCTGATGACGTCACCGTAGACATTTTCAAACCTGTTGTCCAGCTATAAATAAAAGTGTCACTGTGATCAGCAGTAGATCCCTCTCTGAGCATTTCACTGTTCTCAGCAACACAGCTTTCATATTCAAGGTGTTCCCTCAGTGTGTAGTGATGTAAGGACTGTAAGCCCTTGACATTTGATGGATGGCCTCTGATAAGACTCATGTTAACTTCAAAAATACACACACATACACACACACACACGTAACACCTGCTTGCATCACTGTCTTGCCGCGGGCAAAAATGGCATCTCTGCCAGAACATCATGCAGGGAACATTACTCTATCGGTGTGCACTCCAAACAGTGTCACGCAGGAACCTGACACCAAGAACCGGTGTCACGATCCCACAGCGCCGGCAATTCAATGCCACACGCCGGCAGATCCATAAAACAATCAGAAATAGACGGCGGGGTCTCGACCTTGAGCCGCCGTTGGCCTGAGCACAGCGTGACTTAATGTACAGAGGAGAATTCAGCATAGTCGTTTTTTAAAATAAAAAACTTGGGGTACTTCAAATGAATAAATATAAAGTTGCCTCAAAAGAGCGTTTGGGAACAGAAGCTTAATGTACAAATGTCAACAAAGAGGACAGAGTGAGTGTGACGGAGTGATTTCATCTGAGGAGAGACCTCGTATGATCCCCGTTTTCAAAATGTCCTCCTAATCCCCAGAGCCTCAGAAACCGGCAGCTCAAATTAGCAATCAGTCACAGTGAAGACTGGGCAAAGGGAGTAGAAAGCAAGGGAGCCGTACAGATGTCTGGAATAAACTCAATCCACCACTCCATGGGAGGAGTTGGCCCCCTCCCACGCCCCTCACATGGTATGCGTTTGCTCAATGATTCCCATATTGTGACACATGCCCTGCATACACACACGAAGGCAATAAAGCCCAACTTCACATCAGTCTGTTGAGTAAAAAGATCTTGATTTCATTTAAAACGCCTCTAATCACTAATAACAGAGATATTCCAGGTACAGTGAGCAATGACAGGAATGTTTTTGATCTGAAATCCTCCACTGACACTGATGCTGGGAGTGGCCCTGTGCTCAGATGGCATACATAATGCAAGAAATTCAACTCTACTCAGTTTGCTCCCACTGCAGCATCCCTCAATGCAGCGATACAGAGTTTCAAATGAAAAGGCAAACCTACCTTCCGGAGGTGCAGGACACAAACAGCAGCAGAAGTCCATCTCTGCTCAGCGTCTTCGCAACTTTTAGAGGAAACGCTGAACTGAACTGCCAAGGAGTCAAATCTGACCTCCTGACATTGTGTTCTGATGAAAACCAGAGGGGGCGTGCTGAAAAAGCAAGCAAGACAGAAAAAAAAAAAAAGAGAGAACAGAGAAGCGGAGGCTCGGCTGGGAAGTGAGAACTCGACAGCGCTGTGAGTTTTGACTTAATTCGAGAGGCTTCCTCAGTGGAAACAGCGTCTCATGCGTGGTGGTTTCTGACGAGCGCCTCTGGATGAGATCCATGCGCAGCGCTACATATTTTCTTACAGCATTTAGACAAAGAGCGGAAAATGAGATGTTTCTGCCAGCCAGCTACTATAACAAAGGCTTCTCTGTGGAAGCCATAAAAGAGTGGAGGACAGTTAAAATATGCGCCCACATCCACAGGATATGGATCATAATGTACCAAAGCTAAGACAATGGGAGCTGGGAGATTTGACTGATATTAAATAAGTAGAATAAGAAAAGGAGGATATTGTTATCTAAAGATATTGGCTGCATTAGCACACACACACAGTAGCATCTTTGTATAAATGTATTGCTTCATTGAACTTTGATTTAAGAACATTAACTGAGTACTATCCTTTGTACTACGCAGCTGCAGTAACTTTTATGATGAACGGTGTTTTGACAACATTTGGATTAATGACCTGTTGAAATCATTCCGCAAAAATGACAAATATTCCGGTTTCTCAAATATGACAAATGTGTTTTATATGATTGCAGTTAGTTGAACAACACAAATTAAATGAATTTACCATCTAAAGCTCTCAACATTCACATTTGATCAACTAAAGGATTCATCTAAAAAGTAAAGAAATAAATCATTATTTCTGCAGATAAATGAACATAACTGGACAGTCTGTGTATCTTCCAGGCATGTTATCTATGCAGCTGTTCATTACTTCTGAGCCCACCCAGGTCTGGTTCTTGACTGGTGGCTTGACCGCACGATCTTATGCAAAAGAGGGGAGATGTGGAGCAGCCAGTCAGGGGCCCTGCTGCCGCCCACGCCCGCTGGGACTTAACACCATGGAACATGATCCCAGACACTGCCGAGCAGCGTGGGTGGTGTGCTCTTCAGCGTGGAGTTACAGCATGAACTACAATCTCCTTCACTGTTATTCTCTAAATAAACACATCTGGAATCAGAAAACCAGACACAAAAAAACACGTCACTTGATGACGAACACAAAGCCCGGTCCTGGACTGTTATCTGCTACACTGGCAGTGAGAGACACACCCAGACCTGCTGCCTCCTCTTTGGTCCCCTGCACGAGCCCTCACCATAAAGTACTTCTGTGCTGACACCTTTTGGTAAAAAGACAGAACTGTTCCAGCGGCGGAGGCTTCCTACCTTGGCCGTGTTGAATCAAAGCCTCCATGAAGTCTCTTGTGTGATTCATGTCCGTCGCAGCTCGAGCGGCGTCTCGTTTGATTTCCTTCTATCACGTAATAAAATGCAACACACAGCACTATGCGACTGGTGACTCTCAGCGCGTGTGCTGCCGTGGCTGGTCCATTCAAGCACAGAGCAGTGTGTGTAAATGTTGGGAGTTTACGTTCATTGCAGGCTGGGCTAACACACTTAAGGGCAGATGAAAGGTGGCAACTGCCACATGTTCTCATCTGGACTGCTTCGCCCCTTCTTGCGGAGGCACGGGCAGGAAAAAGCTGAGTGTGGCGTAACTGGGCTCACATGTCCCGGTCGCTCTGCTTAGTCATGTGCACCGGGCCCCGGCGACGGAAAGTTCACAGGCAGGCTGCAAGTTAAGGTACAGCACGGAGCTTCCATGTGTGGCTTGTGCACAAGCGCTGATCATCATCAGGCTGACATCTTGTGTGAGTGTTTAGCGATGTGGGAGCTCTGGAAAATGCTGCGTGTTCTGCAAGATGACGAGAGAATGACTGGACGGTCTGTGCACGGAAACAATGTGCAGTGCAGTAGCAGGACAGCATTTAAAGCAGCTCACTGTCCCCAGCAGATGGCAGAAGCAACCCCATCAGTCCACTCAATATCAACAATATCTACATGTACGTATGTATATTATATAGAAAGTGAAATATCAACACTTTAATAGGTTCATTTATTCTAACTTGTTAAAGGATGCACAAGCTGTAAAAAAGTAAACAATAAAAAAACCTAATATCTACAAACTACCTACAAATATATAGGTATATATGATGTAATAAAGCTGGTCTACAGAGTGATACAGCCTGACACCAGTTCTCTATGAGGATACACTGGCTGTGTGAACTCATGTGTCAGTATAGAGTATTAATAAAGAGGGTGACTGTATGTCTGTGTGGAACAAACATGTAACAGCATCATCTGAGTAACATGTTGGAGTTACTCAGGAAGTGTAATAAGTCACTTTTCACTCCTTTAAAAAACACTACTTATTTCCTGGTATCCAAAGTAATAAGTTACATTACTCGTTACATTACCATATTACTTTTGGATGCGTCCGGTTACCGGGGCCTCTTTCTTTTTAGCAAAAGTAGCATCTTACGTTCTAGCCTTGAAACACATTGCAAAAACATGTAACAGTGATTATTAAACTATGTGACCATGTACAAGGTGATACATTCGAATTATTGCTAAAATAGCGTGGTCCGACACAATCTTATGAACTGTTTGGCCAAATCAAATTCTTTATTGTATCATTATGATCGTGACTACCTGATCCTCCTCCATCTGAAGATTTGTGGTGATGTGTGTTCATGTCATGACGCTACAGACCATCCAGACATGAGGTGCAGCATTCTGTTTGCTGATCTGTCGTCAGTACGTTTGACTGTGATTGAGCTATGAGACCAGTGCCGTGACTGGCTATCTAATAACCATCACACCCGCTGACCCATGTTTATCTTCAATCTGCCATTTTGCACGATGCGCTGCTGCACAGACATGAACCAAAACAGAAGGTGCGCATGGACCATGGATCGCATTTATTATTCAAATTTCAACTGAGGTTGCTAAATGTTAAACTGAGGGTGAAATACATGCGTTTGGACCCTCGTAGAACCGGACCTGTCTCTTCCTCGGCTAGAGTACGGTCACACGTGTGCTCAAGGCGATAATCGCCTGATAGTCCACCAAAGACCATCTTGACACAACACGAACCATAAGTTAACTTGACACAAAATACAAAACGCCTTCTGGATTAATAACTGTAATGTAACTACTGTGATGGAAAATGTAATCCCTTACACTACTCGTCACTGGGGAACAATATTTGAGCAATACTGATCAGCATCACTTAGCTGATGATCTGCTACCTCTGGCTAACATGCAAGTCACAGCTTTCTGTTTGAACTTGAAAACTCTTGCCTGCACAGATGCCCCCTTTTTAACAGAAAATTAACTAACAATTGTGCAAATATCTACACAACACTTCATAAGCAGTCATGCACGCAAACCACAGGTTGGCCCAATACTTCATGCATCCGGTAAAAAGACAGTCTGGTTGTCATTTAGCTGTATGGAAAATGACAAGGCCATTACTTGTATTGCTAGAAGATCAAATTATCCCTCTCTCAGCCTCCCAAACACAAGCAGTGCCCATAGCAACGCCAAGGTAGCCTCTACTGCAGACAAGAGGAAGGGGGGAAACGGATGAAGAAGAGGAGGAGGAAGAACTAAGACCAGCTCAAACCTTCCAGGAAGTCAGGCCGGACCCTCTGAACATGCTGCTCATTCTCAGGTTCCTCTGTGAGGAAGCCCTGGTCTCCCTGAAGCAGAGTGGTCTTCAGGGCAACAACGGGACACTCTGGAGGGACAACAGGGCCGGACCCTGGCTCAAAGGCTGGACTGGTGGAGGTCTCTAGGGCGATATGAAACTCAGACATGGCCGTCATAGCAATGCACTTCTCCATAACTTTATGGGTGATAAGACCAATGTCATAATCCACCAATTTTTCTGTGGCTGTTGATGTAGGTGTTGCTGATTTATGGTCGAGATCAGAGTTAAAGGTCTTAGCTTTGGTCACAGGGACAAAGAGCTCAATATTCAGCCGCTTCATCAACTCAACATCATACTTCTCAACTGTTTCTTCAGTCGCCACATCAGCTTCCTCACCTTGATCGTTAACGTCCTGTCGTTCCGCCTTTTCAGTAAGCTCTGTCAACAAAGGGATTGTGGACCTGTCCAGGTACTCTCCAGGTACCTCCGAGGCTGGGTTCGGGGATTCTCTTGGATCTGGGATCCATTCTTCTGGGGTCGCCTTAGTCGTATCCTCCGGCATCTTCACACACTCAGACTCTACAAAAGCTGCAGATGGGTGAGCAGCAGTCATTTTAACAAACTTCTGCAGGACTTCCTTGACTGGGGCACGAGGAGTGGGAACGGTTGGTATCTCTTTGGAGGACTTTGGTACAATTGAAGATGAGGGGAACAAAGAAACGGGTAGCTTGTCCTCCTTGGCCGAGTCGGGACACCTGGTGACTCTGTCCTCAGTGAGGAGATAGGAAGCTCCAAAGCTTTTCCGGTTACCCTCATTGGCCCAAGGTTCCTCTCTGCAGAAACCCTTCTTGGTCTGAACACCGAGCCGGCCGACGGATGCATCACAGTGGTAGGGGCCTCTGAAGTTTTTTGGAGGCCTCTCAGATTGCTCTCTCTCCTCTCCTACTCTCTTGTAGCGGTAAATGTGCCTGTCCTCTTGGATTTCTCTTCCAGGCTTGGGTTTCGAGATGTACGATGTGGGGCCTTTCACAGTAAGGACTCGAGCGGAGGACTCAGGGCGACGAAGGCTTTGAAGGGGTGCAGGCATGATCTCTGGTGGCAGGTGCAGGTAATCTCGCAGGTATGCAATTCCTTCGTTGGTAAAATAGTAGTAGGCATGTTTCCAAGTGAAAGTCTCCCTGACACAGCCCTTGGATTTGAGGGAGCCCATGGTGCAGATCACCTTTAGGTTGGTAACCCCTGTGAGGTCAGGGTGCATGGACTGTGGACGCTTGTCCTTCTTGGCCACAATGACACCATCCCGAAAAAGAAGCTCATAGATTGCCCTCAGGTCGGCTAAAGGCATTACCATTCCAGCCACCATTTTGACTTTAGCTATTTGAGGAATATCTTCTCAAAATATTTCTGACCAACTACAACTTCAATATACACTGTTTGCATGCAGTAACATCATACAAACAAGATTTCCTTTTGCATCAGTTTGGCCTCACTGTGATAAAAAATCTATCTTCCAAATTGGCATCGTGAGTCAGCACGGAGACAGCGATGCTCACAACCCCTCCTACCTTTCTCAGTCCCAGTCGAAAGAGAAACTGTGTAGAGGAGAGTCAGGAGGGAAGAAAGGAGGAGAAATCAAGGGGGTGTGTGCACACGGGATGGAAACAGGAACCAAAAGGATCAGACGGAGCTGCGTAGCGAAGGTTGGTGATCCTGTGTGTCTGATGGACGTTACTGCTACAAACCCACCACCGTCTCATTAGCCAATCTAACCTATGAACAAATACACCAATCCTCACACATGTAATAAGCCTAGGTCGCTCTTTTCCAAATATGAATTTAAATGTAATTGTTAAGGATTAAGGAAAATAAATAATGTAGTTTTAGTTCTACTAAAATATTCTGAAAGAAACTGAAAAATAAATAAATAAACAATTTTAAAATATATAAAAAAAAATTCCCATAGTTCCCCATAGTTTCTTATACAAATCAACAACCTCAATATATTTTTCGAAATATAAATGCCATAAGTATCTAATATATTTTGTTTTGAAATAGTCAAACAATTAAATAAAATCTGAAGAAAATTGTAATTCCGTAAACATTGTGAAAGCTTAGACTTATCGCTCTAATGGCAGACTTTGGGTCTAATGGGTTTAACAATGTGTATTACTTTGTGAGAGGAATAGTTTTTGTAGACTGAACAATATTTTTCTAGATAATGTAAAACAGTAAGAAATAAATTCTGTGTTTCAGGCCTTAAATAAGTCAGAAACATTATTTTATCATATTTATTGTTATCATCAATATGTAAACTGAAGGCTTTCTATTCTTTCTAAAAGGGTTTCTATTCTATTCTATTCTTTGCTCCTCTCTTGATGCTTTAGTCATGTTAGAGAGCACTCAGCAACATCACATCCTTTGTCTGGTGCAAAGATGTGTAATAGATAATGTTGAATCACAGTGCGTATGAGGAAGCTGGTGTACAACTGATGCTCTGTTTGAAATAGCAGGTCGAGTGTATCCAGAGGAGAAAGATTAACATACATCTGATAGAGTTGACACACACAACCTGCTATCAACAGGGCTGAGGGGAAAACCACCATCCACACAAAGCACAGCACACAGCTGTAGCTGGCTACAGCTTTTAAAAGCAAGAGATTGATGGTATTGACATAATGAACAGCACTCTTTGTGTGTTAAACTGCAGAAGGTGTCCAATATAATACACTGTCAAAGCATCCATTCCTTTCCAAAGGTTGTCCATGATCTTTGGTCTCTCTACTTTTCCCTCAGCAGTCACAGCCCACAACCAGCCAACTCTGCAAACCTAAATGGAAAAGCCATCAAGTCATTTGGTTCCCTTAAGAGAAGACAACTGTGCCTGTGTTTGATTCTCTGTTGCTTGGCCTCCTCAGAGAGGGACTGACACTGGAAAGGACCGTGGAGACCAGGATAACCCCGGTTGGGCTAAAAATACAAAGAGGAGGCTTGGGAAAAACGTTGACAGCGGATGGGTATTTTTTCCCCGTTAGCCTTTAAATAAGGTGGTAGAACTGTGCCCTCATCTGACAGCTGTGAGTCTTCAATGCCATCCTGAAATGAATATCAGAATAAAGCACATGCTACAGTGCCCTCTGCAGTACGCATTGGGAGTCACCAGACGGTGCACGGCACCGAGTACAGGGAAGAGTGGTGAGATAACGGAGAACCGTCTTATTAGTTAGCACCGTTTAGCGTCAAGCAGTCGCCGATTTAATTATTCAACCATTTTGTAATCTTCTTAATGAAAATCACCTTTGGTCTGCTTGTTTGTCACCCAGAAGGAATGTGAAACAGATTCCCTCCTCTCTGCTGGGAGTCTGGGAGTAACAGCAGAGGCGGCGTTAAGCTTAGTGAGGACTCCAGCAGGTCTGGGTTAAACAGTGTTAGTCATTCATTGAATAGGGGCTTTGTGTGTAGGCCATATACACTTTGTTCAAATAGAAAAGCATGTATTTCATAGTGCTTTTAGTCGCACTGAACTCTGTATATGGAGATAACCCCACCCTTCTGGGACATGGCAGCGGTAAAACAATCGCTGCAAATAATTATTTCGCGCCAGCCGAAGCTCCAATGCAGATCATACTAAATGATGTGCTGCCAGCTCGCTGGTATTTTGCTCGTCAAAGATGATTTACTGAAGCGCTCAAGTGAAGATATCTAGGAGAGCGAATCACAAATCATAAACGCGGCTGAACTGCTGCTTTGCTAGCTTGGGTGAAGTCTTGATATACGGCGCGGCGGATAAAATCACGCACGGTCGAAGTAAACAGATCTCTCACAGTGCAGACATTCCGTGGTATTTCTGATCCATCTTAAAAACTTGAAGCCTGGGTTGTGTCGGTTTATTGGACGGAGAGACTCTTATCTTCATGTGCTCTTCATTACCTGTCCTTTGGCTCTGAATCAAACAAAACCGCGGCAACAACAGACTTTTGTTTGGTAACCAATCGCCAAATATGTACCTGCGTCAAACCTCCTCCAGCTTCAGCTCCTAACTAAAGCCTTTCTTTTAACACACAGCACACAAAGTACTGGCTTCAACACACTAAACGTGTAGAAATAAACACCACTCCGTCACAAATTCATTATCTACCAAATGGAAATTGATTTACTCGGTGGGAACTTCTCAAAATGAAGATTGGATGAGAAAAAGAATCATCAAAATTCTGAGCAGCTACCCCACGTGAATAAGTGTGTGAAATAAGCCCAGCGTGCTTAACCTTTGCCTGGATATAAATAAAGTGGTAGTCTCTTTGAGCCATGATGGAAGCTCATTGCCATGGTGGAAGTGTCAGACGACTAGAGAATGGAGACACCTCGAGGTGGCCGCTTTAAAAACAAACCCATTCAACTCCTCTGGCAGATTGTGTGCTTTCTGCATTCCCGTACAGACTTTACAGCGAGTACTTTAAGCTATATGGTTCTCTTCCAAGTCGTTAAACGCAACCATGCATTTTGACTTTTGGAGAACGGAGCGGTGGGAAAGGCGCTGGGGGAAGTATTGCTTTAACAATACACACACACACACATCTGGTGATAAACTCTGTGATTAGTCTGCAATGATAACAATCCAGCATGCTGATTGATAAACACCTATAAGGTCTGCATTTCTCAGTATCAAAGGGAGTCTCTCCAGCCGTCTTCTTGATGTTCCATCTGTTGTCTCTGTTCTGGAGTTGGATCTGACATCTGTCCGCCTCATGTTCACTGAATTTCTAAAATCTTTCACTGGTTGGAAGGGCATACTTTACCCATGGCAGACTGATTATCCTCTGATGTGTCTTACAGAACATCGTCCTGAGGTTTAAATACTCAAAAACAACTTTGAGCAGAAAGTGATGACGATCAATTAAAGATGGTTTGTTGAAAGCATAGATAAGGAAACCATTATTATTAAAGCCTATGTTCAGGCGTTCAGCAGTCTCAAACCCATCAGACATCGGCATGATGATGACCCCTCTGGGGTTAATGGCTCATTCTTCGGGGGTTCAGGTGTAGCCTGCGAATATCCGGAGAACGGGTATCCGGGCCACTTCTTCCTCTTCCGTGTGCTGGTCAATTGTTTACAGCCGATTAGCAACTTCAGACACACGAATAAAGTTGAGAGACGACACCTTTCAGATAATCTCTAAAACAGATATCTGCTTATGAATGCAAATAAAGGAAGACGATAGCCGACGGGTTCCAATATTATATTTCGGCCAATGCGTTCCGCCTCTTCTGCTCAGCATACGGACTGATTACCTGCATGCAACCAAAGCCTGCTCACATGGGATCGAAGAGGAAGAAGAATTAATAATTATAATAATAACAGGGGATATAACAATAGGGGAATAAGAAGAACATTGGGGAAGTTGGGGTTTGGTGCCTTGCTCAAGTGCTCAAGAGTACCTCGGCAGTGCCAATGAGGCAAAGTAGCAGGGGAAGTTGGGGGGAAAGTTTCAGCTGGTATTGCACAAACCACTCAGGATGTAAAAGTTGTTCAGTATAGAAGTGTTGCAACATGAGCGGTCTCGAGGGCAGTCTGGGTAAAATGGTGTGTTAGTGTGAGCAGCTAATGGACGCTCACAGCGCTGAACCACAGAGACTTCAGGAGAAAACCTCAGAAAACCTCAGGGAGCAGAACCATACCAAGCATCTAAAGAGGAAATGCTGATCAGTACAAAAGCTCACACGACTTAGTCCGTCTGCAAGATCACGGAGCTAAAATGGCCGACTTGGAAAGCGGCTAATGGATGACTGCTCTTTGCCGCAGTTGCCGGTTTTGCCAAATCAGATCATAAGAGCACCATGTGATCAAAAGGAGTTACTCCACAGAGGAGGAAATATGAGAGCTCCTGTGTGTGTGTGTGTGTGTGTGTGTGTGTGAGAGACTGGCCCCTGCAGTGAGTCGCAGGGCGTGGTCGGCCAGGAATGTCTGTAACCATGGAAACGTGACGCACCACAGAAATATGAGCAAATACACACAAGGCCAGACCGGTGGTCAGGGCGATAGCATCGCTACTGACAACACACACAAACAGTGAGAGTCGCTCAGCGGCTCAGCACCACGCGACCTCAACCAACCATCCCAAAAGATCCAGATGTAGAAAACTGTCAGTGTGGGGACAGGATGAGGTGAGTATAGACCGGTTTGGACACTATTTTGGAGAAGTCTTTTCATGTTACCATGCCCTCACACACACACACACACACACACACACACACACACACACACACACACACACACACACACACACACATCAGCTGTTTTGTATGTTCCAAACGTTCATAGCTCCTCCTGTAGCTGTTTACACCAAATCATGCTATCAGAAGCATTTTGAGTTAT